TGGCTCCACCTTCGGGGAACGATGTTGGTGAAAACGGTGCCAGAGAATTTCTTGGGTGTAAACTCATAGCTTTCATCAAGTTCTCAAAAGGACCCCAGAAGGCCAGCACCCCTGCATTAGAGGGACGGCAGAGCCCCACCGCTCCCCACTGTGGTTGTCCCCAAGGGAGGGAAGGTGGTGCCAGAAAGCAGAGCCACAGGAGGGGGTCTGGGTGAGCTGGGAGGGCCTGGGGGTCCTGAAACCCCACCCAGGAGGCTGCAGTGCTGGGGGAGCCCAGGGGACACAGATGAGGGCAGGGGGCACCGCAGGAGGCAGGGGGAGGGCTCGCCAGGACTAAGGGGGATGGGACACAGAGGGGGCCGCCTGCCCTCCCACCCTGGAGGGCTTCACTGCTTGGAGGTGGCCCTTGGCCCTCATCCCTGGCCCACCCCTGTCTGGCTGGAGGGAGCTTCAGGGAGGCCCTGCCAGGCCATCTCTGGCTAAAGCAGCAGGTGAGAGTGACCGGGGGCCAGGGGCTGGAGTTGGGAGGGCCTGTGGCTGTGTGTGCTAAGGTGAGCAGGCGGTAGGAGGTCCAGGGCTGACTGCACTGAGGTGGGGACAGAGAACGGTGGCAGTGGAGCACTGCGCCTCCTGCTGGTGCCATCTGTCAGTGCAGGCAGGGCTGGGCCCACTGCAGGGTGACCTAGGCTTGAACTTCAGGACATAGAGTCCCGAGGGTCCGCAGGGGGACTCTGTCCTTCCTCTTCTGCCCAGCTCCAGGTTAGGAACACCACATTTACTGCACACAACGGGCTGGACACTGTACTCCCAGGGCATTTTGGATGTTAGGAAATTCAAAGCCAGGCACAGGGCCCAGGTGGTGACCTCAGGCTGAGTTCAGAAGTAAATATGCGAAAAGGCGTCCAATCAATGTGGAATAAACCACAGGGGTGGGTGGGGGAGGTATCACAGACTCCAGGTTGGCAAAGACCTAAAAATCCACCCATAGGGAGGAGGAGGGATAGGCACCCCAAACACCAGACTCAAGAGCATCATTCAGGACGTCAAGATGTGCACATACCAGGCCGCAGCAATTCCATCCTGGGAAAGTGTCCTGTAGAAACTTGGCACACGTGTCCCAGGATGTAAGCACCAGTGTGTACAAAGTGGCATTGTTTAAATAGCCAGACATTGAAAAACCCAAAGGCTCATCAAAAGCAGAAAAAGTGTCAAGAGTTTCATAGCTGGAATATTATATAGCAATGGAAATGACCAGGATTTTGTAACATAACAGATTAAATAAATCTCACAAAGTTGAACAAAAGATGCAAATCACAAAGGAACACATAGGATAGAACATATCTTACACATACATGAAGTTCAAATGGGGCAAACCTAAACTATATGGGGGATAAAACTATGAAAAGAGGCCGGGTGCAGTAGCTCACGCCTGTAATCCCAGCAACTAGGCTGAGGAGGGCAGATCACCTGAGGTCAGGAGTTTGAGACCAGCCTGGCCAACATGGCCCATCTCTACTAAAAATACAAAAATTAGCTGGGTGTGATGGCGTGTGCCTGTAATCCCAGCTATTCTGGAGGCTGAGGCAGAAGAATCACTTGAACCTGGGAGGTGGAGGCTGCAGTAAGCCAAGATCGTGCCACTGCACTCCAGTCTGGGTGACAGAGTGAGACTCTGTCTCAAAAAAAAAAACAAAAAAAAAACTATGAAAATAAAATGAGTATCCAAAAATTCAGTGGTGGTTGGGTGTAGTGGCTCACACCTGTAATCCCAGCACTTTAAGAGGCCGGAGGATCGCTTGAGCCCAGGAGTTTAAGACCAGCTTGGGCAACACAGTGAGATCCCATCTTTAAAAAGAAAAAGAAAAAACATTCAGTGGTAAGAAAGAATAGTGTTTTCAATGGGAAAGGTATGGGGTGGTGTGGGGGAACCCTGGCCACAATTTCTTGATCTGGGTGGCGGTTACTTTGGTGTTCAATTCTGTAATTATTCTTCAGGCCATACCTTTCTGTTTTATGCACTATTCATCATGTTTGACATATCTTAAAAACAAAGAAGGAAAAAGGAATGAACACTATGCAATGTGATCCAGATTAGATGCATGGGTTCCAGCCACATTTCCCACTTTCACTGCAATCAGCATTTTCCAAAATGTGACACACACTTATTTCCAAAGTGTGATACTCCAGATTAGGTGGTATGGGGCATGTTTTAGCTGCCATCAGACAAGACATTAAATAGCATTAAACTTCACAATGAGAAAGTTATTTTTTAGACAGGATCTAGCTTTGTCATCCAGACTGGAGTGCAGTGGTGTGATCTCAGTTCACTGCAACCTCGGCCTCCCAGGCTCAAGTCATCCTCCTGCCTCAGCCTCCTGTGGAGCTGGTATTTTTTGTAGAGACGAGATCTTGCTATGTTGCTTAGGCTAGTTTCAAACTTCTGGGCTCAAGCGATCTGCCCACCTTGGCTTCCCAAACTGCTGGGATTACAGCATGAGCCACTGTGCCCAGCTGGTTATTTTTTGATTCTCTTCCAACCCTTCTGATAACGTCAAGGAGAGAGTCTCACTTGGTTCTATAATGTCTTCACTACCACCCTAACTTTGCCATCTCCCCTTTAACAAGACAAAGCATACTTTAGACTCAAAGCTTCTAAGGAGGCTGTAAGGACATTGCTTTTGGTGTGTGTGGAATACACAGTGGCTTCTGTTTATGGTAAGAGATGGTGGTCCCCCATTTTTCAGTTACAAGTTTTCTTTTCTAATAGATTTAAGGAAAATCTGAGCTTATGTAGAGAAAAATATTCAGTAAGTAATACCACAGGCAGTAATGTGGCTATGGCAAAAAGCTGTCAAGGTGATAGGTGATTAGCTGAGCGCTAAGAAGCATGGATTTAAAAGAAGTAAATTAAATAGCCTTTGGATCTGAGCTGAAATTCTCTCTCCACCACTTACTGAGTGTCCTTCAGAACAGAACCTCTCCAAGCCTTAATTCCCTCATCTACGAACAAGAAGAATGATAGTCCTGTCAACCTCAAGAAACAGAGGGAGGCTCCCCAAAACTGTGGAGTTTAATTGGGAACAAGCAGCAGCACTGCATGTGGAGCCCCAGCCTTAGTAAACTAGGGGCGCATCAGAGGGGAAGCAAGGAGGGCTGTGAAAGGCCAAAGGAGCAGTGCATGCTCGGTTTTTTTTTTTTTTTTTAGTTGCTCTATTGCCCAGGTTAGAGTGTAGTGGTGCGATCTTGGCTCACTGCAACCTCCACCTCCTGGGTTCAGGCGATTCTCCTGCCTCAGCCTCCTGAGTAGCTGGGATTACAGGCACTTGCCACCACATTTGGCTACGTGGTTGTTTTGAAAGGAAGAGAACACTGGTTCCAGGGGCTTATCCCAGGAGCGGACGTCAATTTACAAGTGGACACAGCGTATCAAGCAAGTGTTCTTGTGCATCCGGCTAGCCGTCCTTGTGACTCATGTAGCGAGCTGCAAAGTCCTGAGAAGTGCTGGCAAAAGGTCTTGTTTCAGGCGTCTGCGCCTCAGAGCCCTTCCCAGAGGCTTCGGAAGGGCTCTGATCACAGGCAGGTGTGCGGGAGGGGCCTCCTTCACAACCTCCCGGCCACATTATTTTGTTGTTGCTCTTAGGGTTGGACAAAAGTGGCTTCATTTTGATTCTGACAACTTTCACAGAGCCGGGGGCTCAGGGCTGTTGTGGGGACTTAATTAGTGCAGGGTCTGCTGCAGAGTTAGCAGGGGGAGCAGGGGGGAAGAGGTGAACCCTGACCTTCATGAACATGAGGTAAGTCCTGAACATCTTTGAAACCCTGTTTCCGATCTGAGGGTCTGCACACCACACAGTGGGCCAAATGGTAGCGGAAGCAGTTCCTTCCTAGAGCACAAATCTCTTAAATTCCTAATTAAGGGCTGTGTAGGCAGGACCTCCCTCTGTCCCATCCCACCTACCAGGGAGGGACATCCAGGCATTCCTCACACACAGAAGAACTTGGGCCAGGTACCTGGGATGGGAACAAGAAGGGACTGTCCCACCCCCAAGGCAGGAGACACCCCAACCTCCTCCCCACGGGCTTCCTGGGGAGGCCTCTCAACAGGCTGTGGAGCCCCCTCAGCAGCAGAAGCAGGGCACTGGGGCCTCAGCCTGCGGGAAGCTGCAGGCACAGGAGCGAGTTCAGGGAGGGGGCGCTCAGACAGGCACCCTGAGCCCCAAGTGGACTGACCCTTCACCCCTGCTGAAGTGGCAGGGGCCAGGCCTCCCCTTGGCCCAAGGATGGCAGCACAGGCAGGGGCACCTGGTAGGTGTGTGGTTCAGCCAAGTCCTAGCTCGTGGTTGTCCTTTGAGGGTGCGGGACAAGACTAAATTCTGCCCTGAACGGTGCTTCGGGCATCTATATGGATGCGTGGAAAGGAAAGCTTATGAAGTCAAGGACACAGTAACTGTATTCAGTGGTTTAACCTTGATCTTGTATCATAAGAACCAGGAGGACGACTGGTAGGTTGAAAACCTGTTAAGCTGAATACACTAATGGAGAGTTTTGCTTTCCTGTTCTATTTTGCACTTCAGTTTCTGGTGGGGTCTCAATTATTTGGCTAACTGGTTTCCAGAACCAAGCAATACACAATTTGTGAATGTTAAAGAACACAACACAGTTCATGAGCCTGGTTGAGAAAAACAATGTTCTGAAGTAAAATAAATTATTTAAGTGGATGTTTCTCCTAAAGTGACTTTCTAAATATTAAAAACAAAACAAAACCACAAACTGCCACGAAACTATAAAAACCCTTAAAAAGAGAGAAAGTACAAAGAGATGATCTTACAATAAGGTTTTAAATTCAGAACCTAAACTCAGGCATGTGCAAATTGAAGCTCATCATTCCAAGAATCACCTCTCGTCTCCAGAACCTTCTTGAATGTGAAAGGCATCGCTCTCCAGAACCTTCTTGAATGTGTAAGTCATCGCGTCCTGTTGCCTCCACCAGGGCTCAGATCTTTTTTTAAAAAATACAATTACTTTATTGATTTCTTACAATCAAATACTGCCAACTAGCATTCCTTCCACTCGCGGATCATTAAAAACAAAGAACAGACTTCCTTGGTATTTTCAAATGATGCATTATGCAATAAACAGAGTTAGAACTTAAAATGCACCCTTATTAATTATGTAAACTGGTAACTGGTGTTAAGAAGCATAACTAATAATTTGGTTTCTTCATAACACGGAAATTTAAACATTTCTCCTGATAGTCTTGAGGTTATCATTGTTACGAGTAGTGCACAGTGTGGCACATATGGTTTCATCTAGAAAGGAGTGTCTTACACACCTTAAACACAACATCATTAACAAAATGCATACATCAATGCCTGAGACAAAGTATGTTTCAAATACGAAGCAGCCCCTCAGGCCGTCATTTTAATATTTAGGTTTTGCATGATCATTTATGGCATTATAGATTAATTACACATAACATACTTTTAAACATTTTAACCCTGACGATAAGAAAAATAATTGCTGCTTGAAAAAAATCTTCCAGCAAGCCATTTGGTTGGTATCAGGAGAAACTGACCCTCCATGAGTTTAGTGTCTGCCAGGTCGGCATCATTAGCTCAAGTCGGTGAATCCGATATGCGACACGCTTCACAGTGACTGTTCCCCACGTCCTGGCAATGCCTCGTCTCCCACAGTACGCCAGATGACGAGGCATTTCCAGCATTACCCTTGCCTGTGGCTTTCCCTTTTCATTGTTTGTTGCTGCATTAACTGTATTATTTAGTACTATTTCCTCTTCTCCCTTCTTCTATGGCCTTCCATTTTAATTACTCACAAATACTTTCAGAATATCCTGAGAGCGCTCCGTAAGGGGACGCTCTGGAGATGGAAAATCCGAGGGAGAAGATCGGGTACTGGAACGTACTTGACGTTCCTGGCATCTGCTGCAAACCTCTGCAAGGCTGAAGAGGGTGTAGCGGTTTCCGAATGCAGAGGCACGCTCCGTAACTGACTTTTCTACAAAATCAGCACCCACATTCAGCTCCTTTTCTACTGGACCTTTTAGAAGTCTGGCCTTTTCAGCCTTTACCTGTTTACACTTTCTTTCCTTAATCTTTCCTTCTCTGCCACAAGGAATTCCACATGCCTCTTCAAACCTGCAACTGGGTTGCCTGCTCCTCTACAGGTGTTCATCGTGCTTTGAGGCTTTGCTTCCAATACACGGCTCTGCTGGTTCAGTCTTTTGCTGAAGTAAGAACAGTCGTGTGTCTGGATCCCTGTCACAGACGCCCTGAGTCTCGGGCGGGCGTTACTCTGTGGAGGGCTGGGCTTCTGCATCTTCAGCAGAGGGGCTGTGAGAGGCCTGAAGATGGGCAGCCCCATCCTTGTCTGCGTTCTACTGGGCCCTTGTCCACGTCTCCTGGGCAAACCGGCGTGGTTTCGCGTGGCTATGCCTGTGCAGTTCCAGCGGAAGGTCAGCCTGCTCAGCCTGCGTCAGCTCCGTAGCTTCAGAAAGACACACCACGGCCTTTCAGTGACAGGAAATCGCCTCTTCATATTTGCCCGCAGCTAATCAACAGTCTGCTCTGATGATGAGCCAGGTTGAGGGGCCTTCAGTTACTTCCACAAGACCCCAGGGGAGGCCGCAGTGGGGGAACATGGAGGGGACAGCAGAGCAGTGTGACGCAGCTGCGGAGACAGCAGCCCCTCTCAAATCTTTAACCTGCCTCAGCCCTCCCAGTCCCCACTCTGACTCCTATCAGCCCTTGAAATCTGTGATTTCGACCCATGAACACCTCTTACATCTGTGCCCAGCAAGGACTGGGGCACACTCTTCTGCAGAAGAGACCCATCGACCGTGCAGGTGACACAGCCGCTCCTGGCTCACGGAGTTGCCCAGGGACTGGCCACTCACCCTGGGCTCCCAGGGACCCCAGCCCAGCCTGGGCTCACACATGAGCCTAGAGTTTCCATGGAGGCAATGAGGATTTGTCACTGCCATGACTGTTACTTGAGGCTTTAAGTAGAAGACCATACGCAGCCTTCTAACCGAGTGGGAACCTGAGGTTGCGTGTCAGTAGGAATTTTATCTGTTGCTAGAATAGTGGACTGTTTCATACACCTTATGCTGAATGTACAAGCCTTGGAATCCAATTGTGGATCATTCCTGTGCTAAGCATGAATACATTTTTTTTCAACTTCAGTTTTTACTTTTGTCCAAATTATAAGTGAATGTAGTTTAAAGTATCAAACCGATCTACGAGGTTACAACAAAACAAACAGCAGTTCCCTGTCTCCCTCCTCGCATTTTCCCATCTCCGAGGCAACCACTTTCCCCTCTCTTGGTTTTTATTTTAATATTTACCACTGTTGCTAAATAAGATACTTCATGTCTGAATTTTAAGCTATATATATATGCTATATATATATGCCACACACACACACACACACACACACACACACACACAGAGTCTACTAATGTTCTACTATCTATTGTTGTGTGACAAACTACCCCCAAACAACCTTAAACAATGATAGTCTATTGTCTATATTTTGATCACAAAACTGCCATCTGGGCAGGGCTGATGGGACTGCCTGTGTGTACTCTGAGGCCTCAGCGGGCCTGGCTTGCAGGCTGGGGGTCTGCATGGCTGCCCACCTGGTGCCGGCTGTGGGCTGAGAGCAGCCCCTCCACAAGGGCTTCTCCAGAGCTGCTTGGGCTTCCTCACAGAAGGGCAGGTGGGTTTCCAGAGACGGGGAAGCTGCCAGTCTCGAAGGCTTGGGCCTGCAACTGGCAGTGTCCCTTCTGCCACATTATTAGCTTAGCAGCCCCGGAGCCTGGCAAGATTCAAGAGGCAGAAAGAGAGTTTATAATCATCTTCAAGCCACACCTTCCCACTGAGGAAAAAGAGCATTTAGCTTCCATTTCACCAACTGCATTCCCTATCTTCCAGGCCTCCTGATAGAGTTCTACAGTAAACTAGATCCTGACTCGGCATTTCTATCGTGACGACTGTAAACACTATTGCCAGATCGTAAACTGGGACTAGCTACCTTTTCTTGCTTGCACTGCTGTTTTCTCTGAAGCCAATAATCGTCTTATCTTCACATGTGGATCATTCTGTACGTACTACGAATCCAACCCGAGGCTCTATGCCAAGCACTTCAGTGTTCTCTCAGGCTCTTCTGGGGAATTCGGCTTTCTATCCATGTTGCTGTACTGCTGCCCTGGGCGGGACGTCCCGAGACGGGTTGCCAGGCACCACCCTGGGGCTGAACTGCTCCCTCGCCACTGTCCCGAGCACTTGCTCCACTGCAGCTTGGAGGACCCTGGGTCCTGTCACCACGGTTTCCTCTCTGTGGCTTCTGCCCTCATTTCTGCCCATCTTTCCTGAGAAAGAAGGTGAGGGACATTTATCTGTTGAGGGCTCACCCGTCTGCAGTGTTTTTACTCCAGTGGCACCGAAATGTGTCTCCATGGTGGCAATCATTGTGCCCCCAAGGGCCCTTATTTTGCTCTCTAGGAACTTTTTAGAACCTCCTCTCCTTTCACGATGGCTCTCGCACCTCCATGAAGGTGTCCACTATCTTTTTCTACAGCTTTCTTTTTCCTCCACGGTCTGTGTTCCCCACGGAGCTTGTTTCTTGTTTGTTTCAGGAAGTTTTCCTCCATGAAGGGCAATCCCTGGCTGTGCATGGATAGGCATGAGCGGGGTGACTGGAAGCTCCAAGTATACCAAGGGGCTTGCAGACTGAGATGCTCTGGAGGGTGGCCTGGCTGGGTCCCTGGATTGAGGGATCTCTGAGGTCGGGTTGTCTCCTGCTGGGATGGAGAGAGAACTGACAGCTTCACCAGTCCCTGGTCATGCAATGAGATTAGATGGAGTCTTCTCATTTCTGGTCTGGAAGGGGAAGGCCTGGCTACCCATGTCCTGGGGACTGCCTGGACACGAGGGCTAGTCTCAGCACCCCTTATGCACTTAGCCACACATCCCCCTGAACAGGCCTGGTCCTGGCCCAGAGACCCTTCGTTTTGCCTCTGTAGGAGATGGCTCTCCAGGGCCCGCTGGTAAGATGTCAGGACAGGTGTTGGCCTCTGCAGACCATGGTGGAATCTAGGGAGCTGCCTGCCTACTGAATATATTGTTTGCAACAGTGATTCCAGCCATCCCTCTCCACCCCAGCCCAGAGGTCCCCGGTGCTGCTCAGTCCCAGAGCTGGGGGTCCTGTGGTGTAGGCTAGGGCAGTTCCAGCTGTCGCTGCTGCTGGCTTTGGAGTCGCCTTTCTCAGGTCAGTGATGCCTGGGACACTCACTCATCCTCTGCTTTCCAGGATCCAAAAGTGCTGTTTGCTCCTCTGCTCTCACCCGCCATGCAGTATGGATTGGGTTTAAAATCCTCCCTTTCTTGCCTCTTTGTGGACTTGGAGAAGGGAGTGACAGCAGGAGCGTGCTACTCTGCACTCTCCATCCAGAGCCTGTAGTAATGACTTGCAGCCAGCTAAGTGGGCCCAGGTCACCAGGCCACCCCTGGCTCCTCTCACAGGTGCAGCAAGTGTACCCTGCTCTCTCCATACCTGGCCAGGCTCCAACTCCCCTGGCCTGTTCCCGGCTCTCCTTCTAAGGCCCAACTCAATCCACTTACTCCCAGGTCTTTCTGGGACCTCCTGGTCCATTCTGGCTAGAAGGGACCTCCTCTCCCCGGCCGGGAGGAGTTCTATGCCGGGCAGGTCACAGCTGCACATCCCATCCTGCCTGCCCTCCCAAAAGGCACTGCTGGGCAGGCCCGGCTCCTTCATCCATGCGGCTCTCCTCCTTCCCACCCTGGCCCTGCACACCCAGTGTTCTACTGACCAGCTGCAGGCACAGCAGATCCTCACAGGCCTTGTTCTCTGAACACCCCGCAGTGGCCTTGAGAGGCTCCTGTCCCACAAAGGAGTCCAAGCTGTCGCTTCGGCTGCATGCGCTCACCACGGGCCCTCCTTGCTGCACTGTCCTCAGGCCACACACAACTCTAGAGAAAGCCCATCCCCACCTGTGACTTTCGCAGCCTGTCCCCGCGAGGCCTCTCTGGACGCCTGCACTGTCCCCTCAGCCCTTTCTCCTGGCACCTGGGCCATCACAGCCCCTCCTGCCTGGCCTCCCACTTCCTGACTCGTGGCGGCGCTGCTGGGTGGTGGAGTCACTGCAGTGGCCTCCGGTGCTGCCTCTGCACAGGCCTTGCCTCCTCTGGCGCCCCCTTCCCAAGCTTCATGCCCATCCCCTCCCTTCTGCGGCCTGACATCCTCCTCAGGGGCCCGGAGGCCGCCACCCCAGGCTGCCTGATCCCAGTTCTTTCCTGAGGTCCTTCCTAACAGGAACTGGGGAGGCGTCAGTTTCTCTCCAGGAGGGTGGCTTCAGTTCCTTCCCCAGGCCGGGCCACCGCCTGCGCCATCTTCCCCTGGGTCCAGGGAGCCGGCACTGACCCTTCCGGGTGGAGAACACACTCATGGGCCTCTGAGCGTCGCCAGCCCCTGGTCATGGGATGAGGTTGGTGGTGTCTACCTCTCCCTCCCTCCCCCACGGTGTCTCCTTGAGGAAAAGACAGAGTCTCGCTCTGTGCCCTGGGCCCTGGCCGGCAGGTGCTGTGGGACAGCCCAGGGAATGGCCAAGTCCTCCTGCAAACGAGGGTCGGTGCCTGGTCACTCTTTTTGTTGAGTCCTTTTAGCGAGGGGCCACATAAGAGGTTGGGCCCCTAGTGGACCCATGGAGAGCCATCCTGTGAATGTGCAGCACTGGATTGAGTCAACCACGTTTCTTAAAGGAGTGAACGCAGATGCGGGGCTCAGCATGACTGACGTGGGGAGAAGGCTGGGCCGTCTTCTCTGAGCTCTGGGTAGGGTGTGGGTGGGGGCGGCCTGGGCCTGACCCAGGCCCTAGTTGGGCACAAAACTGCCACGTCACTGTAGGCAGAGACCTGAACTGACCCTCGTGGATACGATTTCCACTTCCCCAGATGGGGTGGGGTGGGCTGGGCTGGGGCTGCCATGGCCTCCACGGCTCCAGGGACCTGCCATGCTCTGGGGCCAGCAGGGAAGGCGAGGCTGTCTGAAGAACCTTTGAGCCCAGCATCTTCTTCCCAAACAAGTCCAGGCAGCAGGAACCCCCTTGTTCACCCCCCTGGCTACTCCTCACTGGGGCCTGGGGGCGCTGGGGCACAGGGACAGGTGTCCGTCCAGGTCTGTGCTGCCTGTGAGGGAATAGCTCCCAGGCTTCATGGGAGGCCCTGGGGGACAGGGCCAGCCTGGCCTGAGAGGCTCAGAGAGGAACTTGGCCACTGCTCCTCAGAGGGTGGGCAGCGTAGAGGGGAGGGGAAGGGGCTGGGATGTGTCCTGTTTGGGGCTCTCACAGTCAGGCTGCCTGGGGCAGGGCAGCACCCCACAGCCTTCTACACCCCAGCACCAAACCCCCAGACGCTCACTTGTCTGTCCCTGCAGATACTTGGCTCCAGGAGAAGGTTCTGGGGGCAGGAACAGATGGGGTGACCGTGGCCTCTGGGACATCTCGGGGGTGGCAGGACGCACAGACTGAAGGCTGCCTGAGGTGGCTGAGCTCTGGAGGAGGGAAAGGCTCTGAGGGCAGGTGCGGGGACGTCTTTGGTCGCCTCCCACAGCCAGCCCCATCTGACGGTGGCAGAACAAAGGCAGCTGTGCCCAGTCACCGTCGTTCAGGTGCTGCGAGGCACTCTGACAAGGGACCCGATTGAGTGTTTCTTTGAAGAAAATTCACTGCAACCAGATCAAATGAGCTTGTTAATCCAGACACCCCAGGACATGGTGCGGGGGAGCAGAGGCTGTGCTCACCGCGGCTTTCATCCTAGTTTCTGGCAGCTCTCGGGGAAGCCAAGCCACGGAGCTTCCCCCATGGAGGGGGAAGGAGTGCAGGCTGGGGTCGGGCTGGCTGGGGAAGGGACTGCCCAGTGGCCGGCCAGCTCTCCCCGGGACCCGAGGCAGGTGGGATCCGTGGGTGCTCGGGACACTGGGTGGGCAATGGGGCCAGGCTGTGTCACCAGGAGCCGGTTTCCCCTCCTGGTTGGGAACCCACTTGAGGGCCCTCCTCCCCTCCACCAGGCCCAGGCCAGCTTCTCTGTCCAGTCTCCCTTAGCGCTGCCAGGGCACCAACTCACACCAGAGCCGGGCACAGGGCCTCACAGAGTGCTGCTTGAGGAACTGCGGGGAGACGGTGTTGCAGGACCCATGACCCCCACCAGGCCCTGCAGAGCTGGTGCAGGAGGAAGCGGGGGCAGGGTTGGACACAGTCACATGCGTCAGGGTGACAGGGGCGCTCTCAGTCCTGCATACTAATTCCATTTTTAATCAGGCAGAATGAGACTCCGGCATCAATCTGCCACGTAGCCGACTCTGAATCGTGCTGGAACTGACAGGAAGGTTCCGGGCGGTGACATCGGCTCAGCAGCGAGGGGTGGAGCCTGAGCTGGGTCCCTTGCCCTGGGTGCAAGGGGCATTCCACTGCCCAGGCTTCCCAGAGGTGCCCCACACACCAGATGGCACTCCACACTTGATTTTATTCTGTGACACTGATTTGCAGAAACCCCCCATTTCCTGGGCAGAGGAGGGCAGTAGGGCCCAGAAAAAAGGGGGGCCGGCCTCCCAGGAGGACTGGGGCCCGCTCTGCTGGGGTCACTGCTGACCAGGCCTCAGCCTTCCTTCCAGCCCCACCCTCTCCCCTGCAGTTTGTTTAAAAGTTGAGCTGTAAAAATTAAATAAAAGTAAAAACAAACCCCTGAGTTGTTAAAAACCAAATTAAAAATCCCCCTCTGTGTCAATAGGTCCTGTTCCTAAAGCCAGTGTGGCAGGACAGGCAGGTGGGGCAGGCGGCTGGCAGAGCTCAGCTGGTGCTTGAGTCCTCGGGCTCACCATCAGACTCCGCCTCCTCCTCCTCCTCCTCAGGGCCCAGGTGGCCGTGGGTGTCTGGCCGCTTCAGGATGGCGCTGTACTTGAGGGCTGTGGACTCTGCCTGCAGGACCACCTCCACCAGGCTGAAGATGGTGATGACCTGTGCAGAGCCCGGCCGTGAGGGGACAAGGACGGCAGGGCCTGATGTTGAGACGCAGCTCCGCCTCCATCCCTGCAGCAGGACCCTAGGCCCCTCCTTTGGCCTCTGGAAGCCTCTGCTTGCCTGTCTGTAATGGGGGTCCCCTCCAGGAAGAACGCTCTGGGTCAGCGCAGAGCTGGGGAGTCAGATGCATCCTGAGCACTCCCAAGGCTTATGAAATACAACCTGGGGGCCTGGGTCCACCTTCAGGGCACATTGTTGGTGAAAATGGTTCCAGACAATTTCTTGCTTGTAAATTCATAGCTTTTATCAGGTTCTTAAAAGGACCCCAGAAGGCCAGCAGCCCTGCATTGGAGGGACAGGCAGAGCCCCGCCTCTCTCTCCACTGTGGTTGCCCCCAAGGAAGGGAAGGTGGTGCCAGAAAGCAGGACCCTCAAGAGGGGTCTGGGTAAGCCAGGAGGGCCTGCAGGCCCTGAACCCCACCGGGAGGCTGCAGTGCTGGGGGAGCCCAGGGGACACAGATGAGGGAATGAGGGGCACCGCAGGAGGCAGGAGAGGGGTCATCAGGACTTGGGGAGCTGGGACACAGAGGGGTTCTGACCTGCTGTGCTGGCTCCTGCTCCATGTCCTCAGGCTCCCAGACCAGCGTGAGCTCTGGCTTCTTTCCCACCTTCTGGAAGTGGTGGGCCCGCAGGGCCAGTGCCTGGAGTGCAAACACCAAGCCTCAGGCTTCAGCTCTGGGTGCTGCTGCCTGGCCTTCCACCCTGGAGGGCTTCAATGCTTGGAGGCGGCCCTCAGTCCTCGGGCCTGGCCCACCCCTGCCTGGCTGGAGGGAGCTTCAGGGAGGCCCTGCCAGGCCACCTGTGGCTGAGGCAGCAGGTGAGAGTGACCAAGGGCCAGGGGTGGGGACTGGGAAGGCCCGTGGCTCTGCGTGCTATTGTGGGCAAGTGGTGGGGGCGTCCAGGGCTGACTGCACTGAGGTGGGGACAGAGAACTGTGGTGGCAGAGCACTGCGCCCCCTGCTGGTGCCATCTGTCAGTGCAGGCAGGGCTGGGCCCACAGCAGGGTGACCCAGCCTTGAACTTCAGGACACAGAGTCCCGAGGGTCCGCAGGGGGACTCTGTCCTTCCTCTTCTGCCCAGCTCCAGGTTAGGAACACCACGTTCCTAACCTGCACACAACGGGCTGGACACTGTACTCCCAGGGCACTCTGGATGTTAGGAAATTCAAAGCCAGGCACAGGGGCCAGGTGGTGACCTGCAGACCCCAGGGCCAGCTGGAGCCAAGCCCCTAAGGCGGCGTTAGGACAGGCCCACGTCCCCTTGGAGAGAACTGTGAATCAACAGTCACTCAGGGCAGGAGCCAAGCCAGGGACAGCTCTCTTCCTTGTCTTCAGGGGACAGTTTCCAGAGCGGCCAAGGACCATTCTCTGGCCTCTCATTCCTTCACATTCCTATAAACACGGTCCCCAAAGCCTGCACACCCTGCCGAGCTGTACTAGCCATGGAGGGGCCTGATCTCTGGTTCCTGGGTCCTTGGGGAAGGGGGCCAGGACTGACCCTGGACCTGGAGCCACCATCCCAGGCAGGAGAGCTGGGCATCTCTGCAAGGTCCATCAGGTGGGCTTTGTGCTAGGACTGGGGGAGCGAGGGGTGGAGTGTGACCCATCACAGCCTGTACCCCTCCAGTGTGGGATGGCTTGGGCTGGGATGGCTCCTGTACCCCCTCCAGTGTGGGATGGCTTGGGCTGCCCCGCCCGCCCCCGGGCTCTCCCAGGGCACTCACGTTGCAGTAGATGCGCTTCTGCACGCCGTAGCGCAGCACCAGCACGTCAAAGGCTTGGTTCAGGACGCCCATCACCATGGCTTCTGACTCCAGGGGGCCACTCTCCTGCAGGGACAGTGCTGCAGCCATGCCACCTCCTGGCACTGCCCTAGGCTCCTCGAAGCCTCCTGGTGAGTAGGTGCCCAGGAAGGTCGGGAGCCAGAGGGAGGTGAGGGGCACCAGGCTGGAGGGCTCACCTTGACCAGAACGGCAAAGAAGAGACCGGTGCTGAGCTCCTGCACGCGCTTGGACGCCATGCGGCGGTCATTGCAGTGGTCCGCCTGCTTCTGCAGGGTATCGGGCGCCATGTCTAGTTGCTCCCTATAGCCTGGGAAGAGGGGGCAGGGTGGTGGGCGGTGCTGTACGGGGGAATAGGCAAGGCATGAGGGTGGGAGCCTGGGGGGCTGGGAAGAGCTATGGTTGGGGGATGGGCTGCATGCACTCCCGGCAACAGATTAGGACCCCAGCACCCAGCTCCCAGGGCAGCAGAAAGTGGCCCTCTGAGGTCAGCGCCCTCCTCCTGGCCGTGTCCAGGGCTGGCTGTGGGCCCCAAGCAGCTTCTGCGGCACCGGCCCGTACGGAGTTTCCAGATCAGGCTCCCCTGTGCTTGGGTCGCCCGACCCTTGGACCTCCGCGGTCACGGCAGAGTGGTCTTGGGCCACCGAGCACCCGCTGTGGGGATGGGCAGCCCTGAGCTGGCCCAGGTCTGCCCTGGCCCCAATCACATCCCTCACCTAGCGCAGCAGCCAGGAGGCGGTGCACCAGGACATCGGCAAAGCGGCGGATGGGCGAGGTGAAGTGTGTGTACAGGGGCACGTTGAGCGCGTAGTGCCGGAACTGCGCCGGGTCCTGCAGCAGCCCCGAGCAGAAGTACAGTGCCATCTGCGGGACAGGATGGGTCAGAGCCTGGCCAGGCCAGCTGCCCGGCCAGGCGCAGAGGGCCGGCACCACCCACAGCCTCACTGTTGGCAGCGGTGTGTGCACAGACCTGATGGGCTGCTGGCTGCTGAGTGAAGCCAGGGAGGACTGGGGCCACGGCCCTTGCTGCACAAGGGGACCCAAGGGGAGACCAGGAGGCTGGGCAGAGCCCATGGGTGCCCAAGTCCTTTTCAGGAGACAAATCTGGCCTACCTGGGCCTCCCAGATGCCCTCAAGGTGGCAGCACTGAGAATGGGCTGGACAGGTCCACCCTGCTGAGGACCAGAGAGCCAGGAACCCCCAGGATGCTGTCAGGGTAGGGGCATGAGCTGAGCCTCCCAAGTCCAGTCCCTGCTGAGTTACTGCTGAGCACCACCAGGAGGGAAGAGTCTCTGGCCTACCCTTCCCCAGCATGGGGCTGGGGCGGCTACCATCGCCAGGAAGAAGGAAGAAGAAGAAAGAAAGGTAAGGGAGGAGGAGGAGGTGGTGGCATCGAAGTACGAGGAGGCGGCGATGGTGGAGGAGAAGGAGGAAAAGGAGGAGGAGGATGTGGTGGTGGCAGAGGAAGAGAAGGAGGTGGTGGTGGTGGAGGAGGAGGAGGAGGCGGTGACGGTGGAGGAGGAAGAGGAGGAAGAGGAGGAAGTGGCGGTGGAGGTGGATGATGAGGAGGAGGAGGCGACGGTGGAGGAGGAAGAGGAGGAAGTGGTGGTGGAGGTGGATGATGA